CAGATATGTGGTGGAATCAGGCTCTCGTCAATTTTTGGGCATGTAGAGTTGTTGGTATGATCTTAAAGCTTGTTCACTTGTGTTTATTTGATGAAAAAATATATCCATTCATCTTTTATACAAGTCGAAATATTTGCGAAAGAAAGAGGTGGGGGTCACCTGTTTTCAGAGGTAAAATTAGTGATAAAATGGCCGCCAAAGATTAGTGATTTCCTTAGCTTAGGAGTCCGCGGTAACTGAACATTTTCATTTTTGTGCTTTTAATCAACGCTTTTCAGAAAAATCCACTCAGAAATGAGTTCTTTAATGGGCCTGAAAGGTGTTGAGCCAAAAAACAAAAATTTGATAAAAATTCAGAAACATGCATAAAAATGCAAGTTTCTTCACTTTGATTATTTTGACGAGAGCCTGATTCCACCACGCTGCCTCACAATTACATTATCAAAAAGGCAGGCATCCGACTCTGCCTATCAGGACCAACCTGGGCTGAGACGGATACAACATCCCTGCAGAAAGACGAGATTTTACTTTACTTGTTTACTTTGTCCTTCCTCTGGTATCCTTAAGATGTCGAGTCGAGGTGCAAGTTTTGGCCCTGTGCTAGGTGTGTAGTTTCTGTGACAGATATGTTGTCCTGTGCTAGGTGTGTAGCGCCTGTGATAGATATGTTGTCCTGTGCTAGGTGTGTAGCGCCTGTGATAGATATGTTGTCCTGTGCTAGGTGTGTAGCGCCTGTGACAGATATGTTGTCCTGTGCTAGGTGTGTAGCGCCTGTGACAGATATGTTATGTTGTTCCAGAACCTTTTTAACCCCGTAGAGCCAGGTCCTTCTTGGTCTTCCTCTTCATTTGAAGCCGGATTCTTGGGTGTGGTGGTAAGATCTAGCCGCTAGGTTCTTTCTGGTGCATTCTTGTTAGATGTCTAAACCATTTGACTTTTTCTCTCTCTATGAATTCTGTTACTGGTGGTATTCCAGTTTGTAGACGTATGATTTCGATAAAAACTCTACCCACTCGGGGTTCGAACGCGGGTCTCCCTTGTGCCTTGTGTGATAGATATGTGAGGCAGCGTGGTGGAATCAGGCTCTCGTCAAAATAATCAAATTGAAGAAACCTGTATTTTTCGTAGGTTTGTGAATTTTTTTCAAATTTTTGTTTTTAGGCTCAACACCTTTCATTCCCATTAAAGAACTCATTTCTGAGTGGATTTTTCAGAAAAACGTTGATTAAAGGCACAAAAAATGTAAATTTTCAGTTACCACGGACTCTTAATCTAAAGAAATAACTAATCTTTGGCGGCCATTTTCTCACTAATTTTTCCTCTGAAAACAGGTGACCCCGACCTCCTTCATTCTCAAATATCTCGACTTGTATTCGAGATAAATGGACATGTTTTTCATCCAAATAAAGACAAGTGAACAAGTTTTAAGATGATACCAATAACTCTACATGCCCAAATATTGACGAGAGCCTGATTCCACCACGCTGCCTCACATATGTGTCAAACAGCTACACCACAGACACCGCTTCGTGATATCTGTGGTTTGCTGTGTTTTGTAATTGCAAAGGTGGGGAATGTTTGGCAGGGTTCTTTTTTTGTGGCTTGTTTGTTTGGTTGTTCTTTTTTTTTGGGGGGGGGGGGAGTGAGGTTGTATAGAACATTTGAACAATGAAGTTTGTTATCTTATGTTGTCTGATATTGTGGCAGATGTGGCAATCAGTATTGTCAGATATGTGAAGGATTTAAGACGAACAATCTTTTCCCCAACTGAACGGTACCGTTCTCTTCCCCCTTTTCTGTATCCTGTCTGTCTGTCTGTCTGTCTGTCTGTCTAGAAGTCAGTTTGTGTATATGTCTATCTGTCTGTCTATTTACCATCTACCTATCTCCACCTCTCCCTTTTGGCTGTCTCTCTCT